CTCCAGTCTGGGCGACAGAGTGAGACTCCGACTCAAAAAAAAAAAAAGAAAAAAGAAAATGCAGGGGTAGCCGTATTCCCGCGCCTTTGGGAGGCTAAGATGAGTGGATTTCCTGAGCCCACAGGTTCGAGACCCGCCTGGGCAACTTGGTGAGACCTCATCTCTACAATAAAAAAAAAATAGCTGGGAGTGGTAGTGTGCGCCTGTAGTTCCAGCTACTTGGAAGACTGAGGCGGAAGGATCGCCGGAAGGCTGAGGCAGAAGGATCATCTGGGCGACAGAGTGAGACTCCAACTCAAAAAATAAATAAATCAATAATAAAATAAAGCTCTTAAGACAGGAATAAGCTTGCAGTGTTGGAGAAGCAAATAGTGTGATTAAAGAAAAGCAAAGAGGACAGTGGTAATGAGATGCAGAGGCAAGTAGAGGCCAGATAATACAGGACCTTATAGGTCAGAAAAAGTAGTTCAAATTCTTTAGAGAGGATTTCATGTGAGGAAGGGATGTGATGAAAAAGATCTCTCTGGTTTGTTCTAGCTGTTCTGCAAACTAAAAGAAGACCAACTGGTGGCTAGGGTTTATGCATAGTCCCTGGGAAAGATGATGGTGGGGTAGAATATAATAAGACATCGTGGTAGAGATGGTCATAAATGGCTGAATTCCAGACTTTTTTTGAGTTCGAGTCTCTCTCTGTTGCCCAGGCTAGAGTGCAGTGGCACACTCGCAGCCACCACATCCTTGTCCTCCTGGGCTCAGGTGGATCCTTCTGCCTCAGCCTTCCAAGTAGCTGGAACCATTGGCATGCGCCACCATGGCCAGATAATTTTTTGATTTATTGTCGAGATGAGGTCTTGCCACGTGGCCAAGGCTGGTCTCGAACCCTCAGGCTAAGGTAATCCAATGTCTGGGATTACAGGCATGAACCACCACGCCCGGCAAATTCCAGACATATTTTGAAAGGCATAAACAGTAGATGGACCAAGTAGAAATGAGAGAAAGAGAATCAAAGATGGCTTTTAGGTTTTTGGCCTGAGCAACTGGATAAACGAAAAAGCTTTTTATTGAAGTAGCAAGAATGGGAAGGTAGAATGACTGAGGGGAGAAATTAAGTTTTTTACTAAAGGATAAATTTTAACGTTTCTTTTTTTTTTTCTTTGAGTTGGAGTCTCACTCTGTTACCCAGACTGGAGTGCAGTAGCTGCTCTCAGCCACTGTAGCCTCGACCTGCTGGGCTCCGGTGATCCTTCTGCCTCAGTCTTCCAAGTAGTTGGAACTACAGGCGTGTGCTACCACACCCGGCTAATTTTTTTGATTTATTGTAGAGATGAGGTCTCACCAAGTTGCCCAGGCGGGTCTCGAACCCTCAGGCTCAGGCAATCCACTTACCTCAACCTCCCAAGGCATGGGATTACAGGCTGAGCCACCAAGCCCGGTTCCAATTTATCTTTCTACCAACAATGTATAAACATGCCTATTTCCCAATATTTCTGCCAGGAGAAAAAAATCAGATGAGAAAAACAATTTTTTTTTTTTTGAGTTGGAGTCTCACTGTCGCTCAGTCCGGAGTGCAGTGGCCGCTCCCAGCCACCACAGCCTTGACCTGCTGGGCTCCGGCGATCCTTCCGCCTCAGCCTTCCAAGTAGCCGGAACTACAGGTGCGCGCTACCACGCCCGGCTAATTTTTTGATTTATTGTAGAGATGAGGTCTCGCCAAGTTGCCCAGACGGGTCTCGAACCACGGGTTCAGGCAATCCACTGACCTCGGCTTCCCAAAGCACAGGATTACAGGCTGAGCCACCGAGCCCGGCTGAGGAAAACAATTTTAATTTTCATGTTTTTATTAGCCATTTGCTCTACTTTTGTAAACTGAGTGAGCTTTTCTACTAGATGTGTATTTCCATTACTAATTTGTAAGTGTTCCTTGTATACTAAGAAAGGTAACCTTGTCTGTCACATTGCAAATAGTTTCCAAATCTGTTTTTCAGCTTTGTCCAAGGTGCCTGTGATAAACAGAGGTGGCTCTTATTTTTATGTAGTGAAATCTGCCTTGCTCATATGTATAATGCTTAGCTCATTTTAGGCATTCCATAGAATTTATCTATAATTAATTCATTACTATTGAAGATTTCTGACCCCACTGTCAGTCCACCAAAAGCCTTCTATATTTTTTCTAGTGAGTGTCAGGATTTTTTTAATTTTTAGATCATAACTCCAACCGGAATTTGTTCTGTGGTGTAGTGTGAGGTCACGATGTTCTGACTCCTGACATAGCTGAACTCTCTCCTCCAGCAAAATTGTGTCCATCCACAAACAGTCACTTAATTCCATTATCTCTAGCCACTGGTTTTCTCCACTTAGCTCCACAAAGGTAGAAGTTCAAGTCATCAACAGCTCTCCCTTATGGACAACCTTCTTGCTTTCTCCTGCTCCCATTCTTACCCAATCCCTCAATCAGTTTTTTTTTCCTGAGTCGGAGTCTCGTTCTGTCACCCAGGCTGGAGTGCAGTGGCACGCTCCTGGCCTCCACAGCCTCGACCTGCTGGGCTCGGGCGGTCCTTCCACCTCAGCTTTCCAAGTAGCTGGAACCACAGGCATGTGCCACCATACTTGGCTAATTTTTGATTTATTGTAGAAATGAAGTCTCACCAAGTTGCTGGGGCTGGTCTTGAACCTCTGGGCTCAGGCAATCCTCTGACCTCAGCCTCCAAAGAGCTGGTATTACAGGCTGAGCCACAGCGCCCAGCCCAAAGCAGTATTTTTTTTCTTTTGAGCTGGAGTGTAGTGATGCGCTCACGGCCACCCCAGCATTGACCTGCTGGACTCAGGTGATCCTTCTGCTTCAGCCTTCCAACTACAGGGGCGTGGGTGTGCTACCACACCTGGCTAACAAAGCAGTAATTTTTTTTTTTTGAGTTGGAGTCTCACTCTGACACCCAAACTGGAGTGCAGTGGCACACTCACAGCCACCACAGCCTCAACCTACTGGGCTCCGGCGATCTTTCCGCCTCAGCCTTCCAAGTAGTTGGAACTACAGGCACACGCTATCACACCCGGCTAATTTTTTTGATTTATTGTAGAGATGCGGTCTCGCCAAGTTGCCCAGGCGGGTCTTGAACCCACAGGCTCAGGCAATTCACTCACCTCGGCCTCCAAAAGCG